CTGCAGATATATGTTGTAGTCGGTATCCTAAAGGAAGAGCTTTATGATACATACGCCATAATATATCCTTTTTCTTGTTGTTGACTGCTTTTATAAATGACCAATCCATCTTGCTTTCTGCTGAGAGAATAGTGTTTATTGGAGCAACTGTTCGTTCCCTTAAGATTCCCATTAGGTTTTTAACCGTAAGGTCTAAGTTTTGTTTTTCATCAACTTTAAGGTCTTCTATTTTCCAGGGCCAGTTGTAGTTAGCTTTAATTTTCCCTTGAATCTTTTTCCATGCCGCTAGATATGGTTTCCATTCTGTTGGCCAGGCTTTAGACTTGATTGGGGTTGACGTCAGAGCTTGCAATACAGTAATGTCTCTTTTTTGTTTTAGAGAGAAGGAAATTCTGTTTCGTTCAATTTTCGCCCATAGGCAGTCTCCGGTTGTTAGTCTGCTCCACACAGTTAGCATCCTTGCATCAAGCATATTGCTAACTATTGGGGCTTGAAGCCCTCCATGTTTATAGGGAAGTTGAAAGGTTGAATATCTAGGAAGCATTCTGGAGTTATTCTTTATCCATATAGTAACTAGTCTATTAATTTCTGCTACTTGTTTTCTACTTGGAGGCAATAGGTATGCTGCATACCATATGCGTGCCAGTATAAGTGAGTTTGCTACTAGGATTTTTTCTCTAAAGGAGAGGTTTCTTTGGGAGAACTTCTCTGTAAGACTCTTGATCTTTGTGACGACTGTAGTCCATAAGTCTTTTTTGGGTGTTCCGTCTGAATATATTTCATAACCTAGTATTGTGATTGCTTCTTGCTCTGCTACTTTTGTGAATTGGTTCTCTTTTGTAAGCTCGACTCTTCTGGCCATGACCGTAAGGGGTACTAGTTTTGTTTTGCTTTCATTGATTTTGGCATTTGAAGCATTTTCGTATATATGAAATAGGTCTAGTACTCGGTCCCAGTCTGAGAGAGATCCTATTCCTATTGTTAAGTCATCCGCATATGCTACTGTTTTAAAATACTGTCCTTGAACTGGTATTCCTTGAATTTCCTTTTCTATAGCTTTTAATAGTGGTTCAAAAGCTAAAACATAGAGAAGAGGGGAGAGGGGGTCTCCTTGACGAACTCCTCTTTCTATTCTGAAAGGACTTGAAATGTTTCCTGAGTCCATGATGTGTGCTTCTTGATTTGAAAACAAGCTTTCGATTACCCTTCTGAATTTTACATCGAAGTTCATCCTTTCAAGTACTGTTTGCAGGTATGTATGATCTACCCTGTCAAAGGCTTTTTTCTGATCAACAAAAAGCATCCAGTGTTGTTTGGTAATGTCTGTTTGATTTCTCATTGTTGTAAG